GGTCATCTTACCGCAAAGTGATCCCAGGGGCAAGTGGAATCCTACTTACGAAGGACCATTTGTGATCAAGAGCATCTTTTCTGGTGGGGCAATGATTTTAACCACCATGGACGGCGACGATTTTCCACGCCCTGTGAACGCAGACATAGTCAAAAGATACTACGCATAAAACGACCCGACAAGTTGAAAACCCGAAAGGGCGACTTGGGAAAAAATGGGCATCCCGGTGAATCGAAAACCCGAAAGGGCGATTCAGGCAAAAATTAGGGATAAAAGAAAAAAATCTGTACACCCGGCAAGTTGAAAACCCGAAAGAGCGACTTGGGCAAGATTCAAAAATCAATCGCTAGATGACCTAATTTCAAAGACCAAATAACTTGAAATAAACACATTTTTTCACACACGCACCTCTAAGGTAGCCTCGCTCGTTTCCTCGGAAACACAGTTATATCCCTCGAATATGGGACGCTTTAGCAATGACCCTTTGATAAAAAGATCTTAGTCCCTCGATGACCCTCGATGTTGCCTTCAATAAAACAATCTCGTCCCTTATGAAAATTGCTAAAATATCTCATAAGTTGCTTTCGATGACTGTAAAATTGACCAGCGCCTGTCCTTTTACATTCAACGATGGGGCTTCTTACCAAATTAATGGTAAGATAGCAACATTAAAAGGAGGAAGAAAAGAATAATTGAAAACCTTTCGAGTAGGTAGATTCGCTCCTAGTTACTTGCTTGCTCACGACAAAAACATTCATACACCAACACTTTCATCTCAAAACATTTTCAAAAGACAAAAACATTTTGTATACGTTCTTATAGAGACGGGAACCATTGCAAAACATCTTTTCAAAACACTTTCCAAAAACACAAATCCACAAACACATATTTGAACCATCTTTCGAAACAAAACTTTGTATGCGTTCTTATAGAGACGAGAATCATTGCAAAGAGATTTTTCAAAACACTTTTAAAACCCACACCCCAAGCACACTGTCAAACAAAAGCAAGTAATCTAAACGAGTAACTAAGAGCCCATGAAAAACCATGGATGAAAAGGGTGCTAATACCTTCCCTTTTCATAATCTACCCCCCGAACCTGAGAAATAATCTCGAAAGATCTTTCCTGTGCTTTTTTACCTTTCCTTTTGGATAAAAGAAAAGTCAGTGGCGACTCTTACTAAACCGCAACATTTGTAAACACAAACGCAAAACTCACAAGTCAGTTCTCCCACTGTATCACAATGACTAACAAAGAAAACAAAGTTATGCATCAGGCTACTCTTCTTGGACCATGTCGGCTTGATTATCGATCATGTCGTCCTTAGAGGTCTCGTCCTTAGGAGAAGTCTCCTCCATATCCACTAGTCAGCCATCCATCATTGTTTTGAAGTAGTCCATCTCGGATACATTAAGGTCGGGATGGAGGCACAACGCCTCGTCTTTAGCTTTCTCAAAAGCTTCATCACCAACAGATAAAATGCCCACTTGGGCCTTCTGCAAATATTTCTTAGCTTTTTGTTTGATTCACGATTCTTTTCAACATCATGAATCAAGCCAACCACAGTTGCTTCAAGATTTGAGCGCTTGGATTCTAACTCCTCCTTCTGTTTCCTCGCTTCAAACAATTACTTGTTCAACTCCTCCACCTTGTCACTAAACCTTTAAGGTGTTCTTCAACTAGTTCACTTCCTTGGTCAAGAGGATTTCATTCTGCTTATAGGCATCACCAACTTCAAACAGCCCTCGAGTCATAACAACATATCACATCAGGTAGGCCCCAATGTTTTGGGTCAATTGTCGGGTACTTATAGTTTTTACCTTGTTAACATCCTCCTCGCGTTCAGATGGTCATACAAAAACTTTAAACCATCGAAGTTGTTGGACTAAAACTTGAACTCGGTTGACGGTTTAGGTGTTGGATACCAATGGCTTCTTGCATTATGGAGGTAATTTCCAAGTCGTCATGACTCACAGGATCTCCCATTAATGTCTTCACCTTTTTAGGGAAACTCGGTTTTGAGCTTTCAGGAGGGGGAATGGAGGAGTCTTGGGGCTCCAAAACGCCTGGGGTTTCCTTTCCCACATCTACTTTTCTCTTCTTAAGGGTCTGAGTTTGAATACTAGTCAGGTCAGACTTCAAAACAAATTATTCTTCCTGTCTTGCACTCGCCTCAACCATCAACTTTTTCTACTCCTTCAGCTTGATGCTCGTTATTTTAAGTGAACAAAAAAGATGAAAAGAATTCAAAAAATAAGCATAAAGGAGTCATTCGTAATATAATGAATGGCATATAAACATTACCCAGGCAGCTAGAGACTTGTTCCTGGTCATTGGCCATGTTAAGTCTTTAACCTTGATCACCTGGAAGACATCTAAAACAACTAATGCTTGGACCTCTAAGGCATCTAGCTTATCATAATCAAAGCTAGACACCGATAACAGGTTGCTCATCTAATAAATTGGGAAACGATGGCTCCCGCCCATCACATATATAACCCGAGGGCATCTGTTCCCATTTTTTACCCGAAGAAACTTGTCCTTAAAATCTTTATAATTAGTAGTATAAGCTTGGAGAAAGTTCCTTCCAGAGATTCCATTAAGGAATATCCAACCTCCTTTATCAGTGTCTTTTAATTCAAAGAAAGAAAAGAACAACCCTATAAAACCCCGACTATTTAGACGTAATTGAAAGGGGGGGAATATTTAGGGTTTTAAGGAGGTCGGCTTCAATGTCGGAAAAAGGGGATGAGAACCTTGAAATCCTCAATCACCTTGGAGTAGAAGTACAAATATCCATCGGACACACCTCTTGCTCGAGTAAGACAAACTCTCTCGCCATCCACATAGGGTTCCAGCATAACATCTTCCTTGTCACCAGTGGAAGAAATGTTCATGTTAGACCGAAGCTTAGAAATGTCACTAGCTTCAATCATATTATGGTCGTAACTTAAAACCTCTTGATAGGACCAGTCATCTCCATCATGATTTTCATAAAACCGGATGATAAGGACTCTGAGTCAGTGTCGCTATAAGGCGGAAAAATGTTACTGTAAACTTCTCTAATGATATGATCAAATTCTACATGTCCCAAATAGTCTTCACACTCTTTCATGCATTCATTCTAGAGCTTACTTCTCTATTCGGTGTTTTAGAGAATTATTGCATTCTCTGAATCATCACACTCACACATGAGAACCATTAGTAAAATTAATCAAAAAAATAAGTAAGATAAAAGGATATAACCTGGAATGTGCAAAGGAAAGCAACTAGCAGAAGAGCGAAGAGCGTGGAGTCTTGGAGGAGTGAGAAAGGAAGAGCAAAAGGGGTAAGAAAGAGAAACAAAGATTTTGAGGCTTAACGAAAGAAAGTTTGAAACAGTTGGAGAGACCCTGTTAAATTAGGATCATGATGATAGTAGCTTCCCCGTAAAAATCACCATGACGATAAAAAGGAAGAGATTTGATGGGACACGCCTCATCATTATGTTTGAAAACTCACTATCATACGTCAGCGTCAGATGTTGTTAGATTCGCACCTAGTCGAGTAGAGATATCATCTAGTTGGAAAGAAGAATTCCATAATTATTTGTTCGAACACCTCACCCTGTCGAGCCTCGTGATCGGGGACTTATGTACACCTTGAACTTCTTAAGAGCCGGTATGCAAGTCGGATGTACGAACAATGCCAAAAAATAGCAGTAGCCGAGTTACTGCTTGTAGGATAGTGGAGGAACGGGATCAGGATGCCGAAAATAATACATGACTAAATGAACAAACTAGAAAGACGAGATGATAGCTCGAGTACTATTACATGAAGGCTCTAGGGCTACATAAGAGTTACGAAAATTGAAGAAGAGGATGTTACGCTCACTTTATGGTCGGCAGACGTTATACACTCACTTTATGGTGACGGCATACGTTATGAGCTTCATCAAATCATACAACTCAAAACTCAAAAGGTCATTTCTTAGATGAGCTTAAAGCAGAGATGTGAAGTGTAAAAGGGACTTCATGGAAAGAAAGAAGAACAAGCTAACCATAGCATACCGAAAATACAAGCAAAGTAATCCTATGTGTCAGTTGCAAACTAAGTTGATTTAACTCTTAATTGATCAAGATGGTCTTACAGACAGATTAAAGCAACAGGATTACAAAGCGCAGTTGATTCTCACCAAAGCTCCCTTTGACAAAAATAAAGGCTGTTTCCAAGCAGAAAACTGTCGTTAACAATGTTACGGGTTCTCTTTCTATTGCGGCGCATATAGAGCACTTCCCTGTTTTGATAACAAGATAATAATTTGTTGACAGAAGTTCCTACGGGTCCTGATGTGTTCTATGGTCATTTCTATCAAATCTTTCCAACAATTTTTCATTCCGAAAGTTACCGGGGCAGACAGAGCAGAAGACACACATAAACAAATAGATCTTGACTCGGCTACTAAACAAATTTCCTTTCTTTGACGTTTTCATTTATTTCACCAGTTGATGTCACAAATTAAACACAAGACCCTAAAATTGTGTAAAGATGGGTTTGTCACATTATGTTAAGTGTGTGTTCATCACATTTTCCTTCATTTATTGATTGTTGACACATCCCATCGATTATCAAACTTAATATTTATTGTTCATCTTCATCCCATTGTTTACCAGATTTGATATTTATTCTTTATTTGCATGCTTTGGACCATTTTTTCCCTTCTATTTAGTAGTTATAGGAGTATTCAAAAATAATTACTTCTCTGCTTATTTCAATGTTGTCAATCAATATTTTCTTCCTTGTTTGGAAGAGTGTGCAACAAATGGGAAAATAGCTCCTCGGTGTGAATGTTTGACTGTTGTGAAACTGCAAAAGGCAAACAAATTTTGTTCCAACTTTTGCTCCCTATTACAAAGAACACATTGTGAACCAACATCTAGTAATGTCTCACCTCTTCCCAATAAATTGAGCACATCTCTCTATAATGAAACAGCGTGTCAATTACTCAAAAGATAAATGTTCATGCCCATATTGCAAGTGAAGACATTAACCCAGCTCCAAGGAAAAGCATACAATAAGACACTAACTGCAACCTAAAGTTACAACTCATTCTTTTACTAAGAAAATCAGCTGCTATCAAGTCTACTAAAGCCATATAAACTAAAATCCCTGCTGACAATGAGTCCAATATACCTTCAGCAATGAGTGCACCAGGACTGTAAGGGTTATAAACCGAAGCAATACCCGTCCCAATGCCAACACCAATAGGTGTAGTCAGTGCAAAAAAACAAGCCATTATTGTTGCTGATGAGGTCTTGAATTGAGCTTGGGATATGCACCCTCCAAGTGCAAACCCTTCAAAAAACTGATGGAAAGATAACGCTGCAATTAGAGGCCTTATAGCACAAGGACTTTGTGAAACTCCCAGAGACAACCCAATTATCACTGAATGTGATACTATCCCAAGCTCCAACACCTACAATGCACAAGTGTGAAATGAACATGTCATGTCACCATCTTCACTATATATATTCAAGTTATAGAGACCAATGGCCAAGTTTTCACTAGCTAAAGGGAAACAAGAGTTCGCAAAAGAGTTCATGTAGTCTGATGTCTCTGCATACCTACAGTTTCACAGCCATTATATTTCCCTAATTTATAGACCTGATGTTTATGCATAAGGTGACTTAAGAGGAAGATCCAATTTATTTATTTCCTATCAAAACATATATACAATTTTTTTTCCTATTTTTAGAGTGTGATAAGAAAAGGCAAATGTCAATTATAATATTATATAATTTGAGGGAGCATTTTGAAACATTCATATAGGGACTAAATTGGTAAAGCTATATTATATATTACCTGCGAAACGACGACGTGTCGTACGTCAGTTTCTTCATCATCAGTGAGTAGTGCGTGAGCGTGAGCATGGCCATGTTCTTCCTTCACGATGCCATGGCCATCACATGCCTCATTACCATGAGCATGGTTATGTCTATGATGCGCCGCATGTGCATGCATTCCAACTATATGCATTCCACCACTCTCTTCTTCTCCAAACACTTTCCCAGCAATCCCTTCCTCCAACGTCCCCACCCTCGCTTGCTCCTCCACCGTCCGGTTCACCCCTTGCTTGCTTTCATAATACTGAGTACCAACAAAATCAAGCAAAAGCGTAAACAGCGCCGCCATCATAGCAAAGAAACCCGTGAACGGAAACTTCGACCACGGAAACTCCGGTAAGCAAGGACTGTTAAGCGCTTTTGTTGCATCGGATAGCATATGGACGAAACCGGTGGCGAGAATCACGCCAGCAGCAAAAGCCTTGGCAGCGACGAAGAGGTTGCCGTCGGTTTTGAGAAAGCGTCGGTGTTTACCGATGAGAGGAATAGCTATTCCTGCCATACCTGCTAAGAGAATTGACGCCATGGCTATGAATTTGAGAATGAACGCCGCGGATTCGTCTCGGCATAGGTCGGACTCCGCTCCTCCGCATGTTGAGTTCGTCATTGATAAAGATTCCTTTTCTATTTGTGAAATTAAATTAAATTGAATTAAATTAAATCTCTCGTATTGAAAATATAAACAAAAAATAAACAAAAGAGATTGAATTGTTACCGGAGAAGAAGAATCGAGTTTTTTCGATGAGGTACTGGAGAAGTACTTGCCAGAGATCCTGAAGAAAAAAAATGAAAAGAATGAGTGAGAGATTGTGAATTTATATTGGAAGCGGTTAAGAACCCAAAAAAAAGAAGGAACCTCGAAAAAAAACATGGATCGGTGGGTAGAAAAAGAGGGTGAAATGGTTTATAGGGAGAAGCGAAGAGAAAGATGAGATGATAAGTATAAATAAAAAAAGAATAAAAATGGGGGTGATGGATCGTAAGCACGCAGGGCATCGAATGCTTGAGGAAGAAAAAAACAACGAGTGTCGTCATATGAGGGTAGAGATGTGGGAGAAGAAGAAGTGGATGGTTCGGTTGGGACTTTTTTGGGATGGAATCAGCGTGAGAGTGTCGACATTCTTTCATCACCTTTCTCTTTCTTTATTTATGCTAGTTTTTGGTTTCGTATTTTATTCTACTTCTATCTAGATAATATGACAATTTATTTATTTATATACAATATTATTTTAATAAGTTTTTTTTACAACTAATATTCGTATACATCATGGTATAAATTTTTTTTACACATTCAACTAATAAAAAATTAATAATTTATTATGTTTAAAATAAAAATATATTATAATTAAATATATGATTGTAATTGATTGACAATATAAAATTTTTTACATTACTTCTTTTCTCATATTCAAATTTATTTACACAAATGAATTTATTTAATTAATATTTAAAAAAATTAATTGAAATACATTAATAAAAAAATTTACACCGTTAATAAATGATAACTGTCCGATCTTAAATTACACTTGACTTTTATTTAAAATATATTTATATAATAATTATAAATAGATGTGATAGATTAATTGTGTAAAACTTTTTACATTAATAACATATAAATTATTCTCATATTTAAATATATTCAAATAAATTTATTATTTATGTACAATATCTATTTTAATAATTTTTTGTTTATTAAAAATGGTGAATAATTTATCCAACTATTATTCAAATTTATTCACACAAATAAATTTGTAATTTTTATTAGTTATAAGGCTGAAAAAAAAACTAAACATAAAAGTAGGATGTCTTTGACTTCATCTTCTTCTTTTTTGGTTTAGAGGTATCAGGAGATACATTTCGACAACTTCTTCTTTTTTAGGTTCTTTGTTAATGTTGGTTTTCTTGTGTTTTGGAGGAGTGGGAGAATGTTTTTGGATAGCATGAAAACAATGAAAATATTAGAACAAAGAGTAATCCATGCATGAAAGGCGTAATCAACGTATGAAAATGAACCTTTGCTTCTGCTCTTTTAGGAGGTTCTTTTTCCCTTTGAGTTTTTTTTAATCAATTGTTGTTAAGGGAAGAAACAGATAGAAGTATGAATATCAAAAGGACATAGAAGGAACTTTGAGAGAAGGAGGTCGAAGGATCCTCCCATTCCTCACTCACCTTCATATATTGGAGTAAGTATATTGACATGTTTTATATCAACATAAAGGTGATCTTTGAAACTGTCTAAGTATATTGACATGTTTTATATCAACATAAAGGTGATCTTTGAAACTGTCTAAGGTATGTGTAACATCCTCATTTTCCATTTACATTTATAAATGGACATCCTGAGATACTAGTTAAGATTGAACGAGATGGCAAATTAGTAAATATTGCATAGTTGAAGGGTAATATAGTCATCCCACTTTTAAATATGGAACTTAAGGGTTTGTTTGGTAGAGTAGTTCATTTGTTTTCATTGACAAATCGAAATTTAGAGAAAGGCTATTGATGGAGAGAAAGTTCAACTTCATCATCATCTTTAAAATGCATGTACAAACTCGGATTCCTTGACATGTCACCATTCAAAAAGTAATAACTTTCTCCCTGAAAATTTGAAATCGAACGATTCTCAAATTTTCGGATATTAGACGAAATTCCCTTCATTTTGCATACTTATTTTGTGTATTAGAGGTCAGAAATTACGTTTGAAGTTGGAGGTTTGATGTTGATTTGTGCTAAAACATGCATATGGGTTTGGTGGTTTTGAGCCGCACAAAAGCTTAGGAATGAAGATTGAAGTTGTGATCATCTCCATCTCAAGATGAGAAATCAGAATCTCCTCTTAATCAAGGTGAGTCCTTAGATAGGACTTGAGGTTTTGGTCGGACTTCATGATTGGGATTAAGGGTTTGTGAAAAATTGTCAGAAACTTGTCATGGAATGTTCATTGTTTTTGCATGTGTTGTTTTTCTTGTGTTTTGGCTCCCAAAGCTTGCTTAAGTTGATGTTTTATGTTGTTGATGTTGGTGTAAGCCCTAGAGGCCAATACTTTTGGTACTTGTATTGAATTATTTATTAATAATAAAAGACATTTATTTATTATGTTTTCTTTTCCAAAATAATAAAGTCCCTATAATAGTTCGTTTGTTTAATGAAATATTAAGTGTGACTTAATCATGAGATCTCATTAAACATAGAGACATTATTCTTAAAGTATTTGTAGTCAAGCTTTATTACAAAGTGGGATAATATTAAAGCAATGAGATTATTATGTAGATAAACTGATGATCACATCTCATGGATCATGGATAAGGAGTAATCAAGTCTTGACATATGTATCAATATTAGGACTAATATTTATTCTAGATTGACCCGCTATGAGAATATTACATAGAATGTTATGCAAAGTATCATAAGTTATTCTCATGGTAATAATAGTGTATACCATCCTTCGAACTGAAGCCACTAAGGATCTTAGATGTAGAGTGTTATACCCCCAATTGTTCCCCCTAATATCTTTCATCAATTCAATATCAACTCAATCACATCAAGATCATACACTATGGTTTGGGTCTTCTTCCTATCTTTAAGTTTACTCATGTGGGATCACCAAACATTTTTTTTGTATGTTTTGTACATGTATATCTTGTGTTTATTAACTTTTAGCTAACAAATACAATATATGTATGTTTGCTCTATGGATGTTGGCATTATAGGTGATGGCACAACAGATTTCATCAAGATGATTCATAGGTTCATGAATTTATTTCCATGCCTTCCTCAACAAACTTCATTGAGATTTAAACTTCATCTTTGAGTGTGCTTTAAGACAATGTCATGACAAGGCCTACTATGATTCATCATGCTTCAATTTTCTAAATGAACTCAAAAGATGCAAGATTGATTCAAGAAGTTTGACCTAATTGGACAAGTTCTTGATTCCTTGACCACAAGTGCATGACTCCCTCAATTCTCAATATTTGTAAGTGATTCTTCTTGCCATGGGTTCATATTATCATTTACAACAACCTCTCTTCACATGACAAAAAAAATTGTGCAAGAAAGATTGTCAAAAGTTGAAAGGATTTCCAAGTCATTTTGATGCTTTAGGAGCCAGGATTTTGAACTTCTAAGGGCTATATCTTGTTCATATTTTGAGATTTTTGAGTGATATCAAAGATATATTTCTATTTAAAGGGTTAATAACAAATCACTTCAAGAGTTTCAAGCAAACTTTGTATGAAAGATACCCAATTATTGAGAAAGATTACAAGTCCTCTAGATAGGCCATCAAGTTCTTTTATGTTACTTCAAAGGATCATAACTTGGTTAAATTTTATCATCTTGAGCTCATTCTTTTTCACAATGATCTTAAGGATGATAACTTTAACTCTCTTTTTGGTGCTAAGCTTGTAAATGATTGCAAGATGCTTTTTGAGCTCAAAACATTATAGGTCATCTCATGGGTTTCCACCAATTTCACAAGATCATAACTTGTTCAATATTTAGAATTTTTGAGTGATATAAGTTTCACAACACTCTTTAGGAAGTCTAATTCAAGCTAGAATTAATGATCAAAGCTCAATTTTGAAGGAAGACCTTATTTGGAATCAAAACATTATAGGTCATTTTTGAAGAAGATACTTAGAATTTTTCTAAGTACAAAAGTCAACGCATTACCAACACTTACCATTATTATTTCTTGAAATCGTACTCATCTCCTTGCATTTCTGACTCCGACTCGCGATTAAAAACATTCCAACAACTTCAACAACTTTTACAATCACTCACAAGGATCCCACGACAAGGTCTATAGCAATTTGTTACTCTATCACCGTTCAAACATCGACATCTTACGCAAGGGCTACTCAAACCGACAACTTCACAATCCACCAATAGCGCTGAAACATCACAACTTTCTAAATTCCATCTTATAAAATTATCCTTGTTACTTAACAATCACCTTCAAGAACATCATGGATTCACCCTTTACTCGTATATCAACAACCGTTACATTGCTCCTCATCCTTTGAGACTTAAACATCAACAATGTCTGATCATCCTCCCTCTAGACATCCCAACTTGATTAACAAACAAAATTTGTAATCCATGTCACCTTTGGATTCGAGAAACGACAAAACTTAAAGAATACTTGCAATGTCGCCATACCGAACCAACATCTTACAACCGAAACATATCCGAGAAGCAAAGGTTCTCCCCCACTTATCTTCAAACCAACTCCTGCATACAAGCGATTAGAAAAGCAAGCAAACACTGACAGTGTTTCACGCACTTGTCGCGTACTAAGGAACAAACAACATTAGACAATTTGGCCAGATAGATCGACTTGTTCTGATACCAACTTGTAACACCCCAATTCTACCCGACAATTAACATAAAAATCAGAGTTATAAAATTTCTGACAATCGAATCAGGATGCTACAATTACAACTTAAAACAACGATATTCATTACAGATATATAACACATTAAACTTGGATGAACCAACGACAACATAATTTAATCTTTTGAAAACAACAACTTTCACAACCACGCAGCGAAATCAAATATTCAACTTAAAAGAATATAACATCTTTATCCAACTAAAACAACTTCAAATAACAAACATTTAATGAAAAACAACTTAAAGTTCAATCAACTGAAATAATCAACAATAAAACAACAAATGTTCATCCCCCCGAGTGTTACGTATCAGAGCAATGACACCAACTCAGACTACTGAAGGTAAACCGCCTTCACTTTGGATTACCTGCACGTTACCAACATAGGAGTAACATTCAAACAGAAGGGGTGAGATATCTAACAATATAATCAAATGTATGATAATATTACATTAGAATTATTCTATGCCAAATCA